TTCACCTGAGCAAACACCTGTTTTCTTCCTGTGGACGTTTCCAGGCGCCACAGGGGAAAAACAAAGTGGGAATAAAAACAGGATGTGACTGAAACTTCATCAGTGAAGAAATGTGGATGGTTGAAAGCTCCGGTAGGTGATGAGTGACAGCTGGACGGTCAAACACCTGCGGCTGGAAGGTAAAGCTTTGCTTTCGCTCTGCTGAGAGCAGACTAAGCTAAAAAGATTGGCTCAAAGCTTAAAAGTTATCTTAGTCCTATTTTAAGTGAAGTGTAGGACTCAGGCTGTGGTCGAAAAGTAACATCTCTTTTCCTAAACACATGAAATAAATAAATAAACAAAAATAACCAATGCAAACTGAGCATTTAACGTGAGGCTAAACGCTGCAACATGATCCTTTTACAAGACTGGTAACGTTAGGGTAGGGGTAATTACAAAAAAACACAATGTCTCACTGAACTAAACATTTCCACACAATGTTTGAAGTTATTTTATCAAAGCCATTCCGACATAAGTTGATCTAATTTTTAGTCATAGAAATAAGATGTATTTTTTTTTATTGTGATATATATATTATTATTTTTATAGTTTTTGATTAAAGTAATAAAATGCTAGATTAGTAGCACCTTAGCCCTTTATGGTTGATCGTTATTTAGACACCAGAGAGCCCCTTTAGCCAATGAGCAACTTCACTGTCTGAAAGTCTGAAGTTGGAAGCTCACACATGCTCACAATTTTACCTGTAATTTCCCTAAATAAAATACATTTGATTAAATACAAATTAATTTGTCAACTGTAGCTATTTATTTTACTTTGTTACCCTAAGCAAAGCCTTCTTAAAGATACAAAAAATCAACAAAATGTTCTTTAATGTGTCAGAAAATAGACATTGAGCTTAAGGGGGGGCGTCTTACCCCAAACTACCCTAACACAGCTCGCATGGGTCTCAGTTATTGTTGACATATGTATATTAGCAAGTTATGGCATCAGAGGAAAAGGTTTAAAAGACAATGGTAACTAACACAGTGATCGACATCCTTTATCCGTCATGGTTCTAATGGTTAAAATACAACATTTTTACAGCAAATTTCAACAACCCGAAACATAAAATGGTGTTGAAACAGCATCAGATTACAGCCAAAAGAAAACAAAGCAAATGGAAGAAGGAAATTGTGAGAGTCTTATTCAGGTATCATGTCTTCATCACTGCAGACATGTTGCAGCATTGAGGGATGTGTGTGGACTCATTGATGCTGTGTGCTGCTTGTTTTGTGGGACTGTGTTGTGACAGAGGGAATCTCCGAAAGGTTTTTCCTCAGGTGTCTGTTAATGAAAGGCTTCACGTCCACATGAAGCTTTGTGTCCATCTGACTGACTCCTCAGGTTGTTACCTGGCAGTAAAGGCTGAACAATAGGACTTTTATTTTCGAAACCAAACGGCTGGTGATCCAGCTGACGGTTCCCATTTGCTCCCAGTCCGTTTCACACAGCCTGACGCAGCCGTTAAAATAAATAGCTACGTTTTATTTGTCTTATGTGAGGCTTTTAATATGAACGTAGGCTATCTATTTTTGGTTAGTATAGCTTTCTTAGGCCTACTAGGTACAGCAGCTGGAAGCGAGTCTTCTAAATTTAATGTTCTATCCTTTAATCAAGCAAACAGTTTCTTTCTGGAGCTGCTTTGTGCACGGGGGCGCTGCCATGTAGAAACAGGAAAGGGACACAGAGTTGAAGGAGCACTATTGACCGGACGTCCACATGTGGAAGACACTGAAACCCCAAATGAAAGCTGCTTTAGATAAAAGTGTCTGCGAATGAAGATGAGAGTAAGTAAAATACTCACTGTCCATTTACTTTTGGCCATATACTGTATCAGCTGTGCCACCCAATCAGGTGCAGGCTCAGCCTTCACTATATTTGCAGACTGAACTAGATGCAGATTATAAGTGTGCAGCGCTGGTGAAGACACAGTGTGTGTGAGCTGAGTCTCCTGTGGTTTCATTACTCCACACAAACAGCACTCGAACTCTGATCTGTGGCATCTGTCACATGTTTAACCTCCTTTAAAGCCACCAGACAGACTCGTGTTAATGTTACTGACTCATTCACGTGGACTCGCTTCTTTTCACGTCTTTCATCTTGTTTGTCTCTCTGTGGTTCTCAGTGGTTTCTGTCCGCCGTGGCGTCCCGAAGGGACAGCGCCATGAGCCGGGCGGAGAGAGGTGAGGTGACCTGTCTCAGGTGGGTGAGGTCAAAATCATCTCTTGATTTATTTGATGTCTTCTGTCCTCGCTGTTACTGAAGGTGACTGAACATGGAGGTGAAGAAGAGTCCTTGGATGGGCCCTTTACTGCCTCCTCCATCCTCTGTGTGTGTGTGTAGATGATCGCAGCCTTTGAGGCGGAGTGTGTGAAGGAGGCCCAGGTCAGGGGTGTGACTCTGCCGTCCGATTGGTCAGTCAGAGGCCTGCTGGAGGAGCTCAGGGAGGCGATGATGGACGTCCAACCAGCCGTGCTGAAGGCAGCCGCCGGTCTGCGTCACCGTGGTAACTATGCATCAACACATCTGCACGGGAAACACACAGCTGTGGCGCCCGATGACATCACCAAAGGCTGATTCTACGCCTCCATCCCATCAGGGTTACTGACGGCCGTGCTGGCCAATCACTGGCTAGATGACAGCGCGGCTGGAGACGGTCCAGCCCGCCTTCTGTCTCTGCTGGGCGGCCATTTTGACCAGGTCCTCCAGTCCTGCCGCTCGGGTCACAGGGTCCCGAGTCCTCCGCGTTCAGCTCTGCTCTGCGGCACCTGGGAGTGACATCGCAGCAGGTCGAGGACACGCCCACACACACGCACGAGTGTAAATCCTGGTCCGGGACAGCGCGCTCAGCCTGTCGGTCTGATTTCAGGCTCTGTGGTTGGACGCAGATGAGGAAGGTGTGAAGGCAGCAGAGGGAGCGGGGATGAAGGCCGTCTTGGTGGAAAATCTGGCCGACGCTCTGGACAAACTGGCCGACTTCACTGGAGTTCAGGTGTGACCCGGAACTATTGATCTTATACTGTCAGAGAAACAAAAAGCTAAAGAAAACGTGATCTAGGAGCTTTTCACTCTGTAACTTCTCCATCTTGTTGTTTGCATTTCATTTTGCTAACCTGAATCTTGACAGCCTCGCAGCATCACAGCTTTCCCCACATTCATTTAGCTGTTGTTCTACTCCACGTTTCTCGGGAACCGCTGCCCCCCATCATGACAGAATTTGCGAGACATAATTGAGTGGCGTCTTAAGGTAAAGAAAAGAGAAATGAGGCTTTAGTGCATAGAAGCTGGAACCGGCGGTGATGCAGGAGCAGCAGCTGGTGCCAGAGGAAAGGTCATGTTGCTGCCTGAATCAGTCAGTTTGACCTCAGACAGCTGCTGCGCTAACATCAGCACGCTAACATCCACACTTCCATGTGTTTCAGGCTGCTGGAGCAGAGAGTCCTCCGCCCTCCTGCAGCCCAGATGAAGTGTCTCATGGTTACGTCACCATCGGGGTAAAGATCTGGATCGGGGTCAACACGAATTCTCCTCCTGCTGTCTGTTTAGGAAATGATGGAAGTAAGACGCAGCTGAAACGTTGCTTTCTCGTGACATTAATGATAATTCCTCGTGTGTGCGTCAGCCTGGTGTGAGGACTCATTATGTTGAAATGGGCTCAGGTCCACCAGTTCTGCTGTGTCACGGCTTCCCTGAGAGCTGGTACTCCTGGAGGTACCAGGTAACGTGTTCAGACTGGATTTCACCTGAAAGTTGGATGTTGTACACGTTTATATATTGAAACTAAAAGCAAACACTCGTGTGCCTGAACATCCTCTCCTCTCTCTGGTAGATCCCGGCCGTGGCAGCAGCAGGGTTCAGGGTGTGGCTCTGGACATGAAGGGGTACGGAGAGTCCACAGCGCCCCCAGGTGTGTGTGGGTCAAAGGTCAACACTAAATCGCTCTTTTTAACGTGGAACCAAAAATCCTGCTCCTCTGAATGGAAACAAGTTTAAATTACAAATAATCAAAGATAAAGTAAAAATGTTTCCATGAGAGTTAAACAGATACACGTAATAGAAAATGTAGTCAAATAAATGCAGAATCAAAAGATCAGCAGAACAGGTGCAGATCATACAACAGGAAATAAAAATATAAACGTCGGTTTAACGGACGGTTAAATATCTCACAATAGAAACTAAACTTTATATATTTACTAAAATATGGCGACGACGGGCTGAATATCTGGAGAAAAAGTCAAATATTAATCCAAGAACATGGAAATCTAGAGTTAAATTGTTGCGTGTAGGTTTGTCCAAATATTCCAAATAAGAGTTGATAATCATAAGAATCAGAACCCTGAACATGACTTTAAAAACAGTGACATGAGAAAACACGAGCACTTCAGCTTCATCATCGAGGAAATCTTTTTGTATTGAACCCAAATAATCATGTCAATAAAAATGAAAAAGGGCTGTTCTGCACTTTTTCTCCTCCTTTCTGCTACTAAAACAATCTAAAAGCTGCTGCGTCTAATGTGTCTAAGTTAGAGGTTAAGAGGGTAAAAGGGCCTCGCTCAGTCACAGAAGAAGAAACCTGAGAAGGAAAGGCTTTCTGAGCGAGAAGATGAGGATACAGCCATTATTCATATAGCCAGACAAACAGTATCAACACCTCCCAGATGATCAGAGGGACGTGATGCATTGCTGTAGACTAAATCCCCAACTGTCCAAGTTCAGAAGACAGCTTTAAAGTTCACTGACAGACACTTTAGATCTAGTTTAGTTCATCTGGACACAACCAGAAATGTGAAAAGGATCATTTAAATAAACCAAAGTATTTGTGTTTTTCTAGACGGCAGCTAAAGAAGACGAGCCAGAGATTTGACTGTGGGACTCGCATGACGATAGAGCTCTGGATCTGTCCACCTAAACGCAAAGTGTCCACCTGTGTGTGTTGCAGGGCGCGGCGGAGGCCGAGCTGAGAAAGACTTGGAGAGGACTTTAAGATTTTCTTTTTCAGCAGCGGTGAAGCGGTGAGTAGACACACACGCACGAGTCCAGTCCGCACAGGCAGAAAAATCCCCTTCGTGTCACATAAGAAATGTTGTGTTTCCGTCTTCAGGCGAAGCGTCCTGCCGTCAGCACCGCAGGAGTCTGCGCTCGAGGTGAGCCTCCACCCTGAAGTCTGAGGGACTTCCTCCCGAATGATATTTGAAGAGCTCATTAAAAAGCCCGGCAGATACTGACACGTCCCGTTACAGGTGGTCTGTTTGTGGGTCTGCCGGAGCAGATTCCCCGGAGCTCCGTGCTGACGGAGGCCAACCTGCAGTACTACGTCAGCCAGTACAGAGCGAGGCTTCAGGGGCTCAAACAGGACACGGTATCTGTTCACAGGCCGCTAACATTTTCATACAGAGTCGATCACGTTTGTGTTTGGTTTCACGGAGACCGTTGAACTGGTATCGTAACGGGGAGGCGAACTGGAGGTGGATGTGTTCTCGTCCCACTGCAAAGGTTCGTTACAGAGCGCATTATGAGACGCCAGCATCTCAAACAAGCATTTAAGAAAACAAAACCAGGCTCTAAAACTGGGTTTCTACACATCCGGAGTTCTGCAAAGCATTTTCAGCTCATTTAAACTTCTTGGAAACCGACATATCGTATCGTCCTGCTGAAAAGGTTTAATGTCAGAATATAGGTGAACATCAAAGTCACCATCAGGCTGCTGGATTATCTGTCACAGTGTTTGTGTTCCTGCAGCAGCTGGACGAAGATCAGCTGAAGAGAAATTTACATTGGCCCTAAAAAGTGCCGACCCTGTTTCTGATGTTGCTGTATAAGTCAGGTTTTGCAGGCTTAGTAGCGTCTGACTTCCTGTCGTGGCCCTCAGCTCCGAGCCCGTCGCTTCCTACTGAAGACGGAAATCTTTAAAACATCTCACAGATATTTAGTTGCGGTTTTGTTTCCTAAAGCAGCTGCTCACTGTGGTTTTTATCCAACAGACAGGAAGCAGTGCATTTGTTAGGGACTATTTTCAGCGGCGGTGAATCCACAGGTGGCGGGTTTGGGGCAGCAGGACGGTGTGTGTGGGACTGAGTCAGAAAAGTACAGAGTGTGTTCATGGTGATGAAGGAACATGTGACCCAGTGCAGCAGAGAGGCTCACTGATGCTTTGACTTCAAGTTCAAGACTGATTTTTATTTCCACTTTAGAGGACTGAGATGCACAAAGAAAGTCTGTCTGTCACTGTGTGTGTGGTCTCAGCTGCTGATGCCTGCTCTGATGGTGACGGCAGGTAAAGACCAGGTTCTGCTGCCGGCCTTCTCCAAAGGGATGGAGGACTTGGTGAGAAAAACAGCAGCGTCCTTCCTGAAGACAGACAGAGTGATTATAGATTATTGGAAATGAATCTGACCCGGTCTCTGTTGGTGGACTGCAGATCCCGAACCTGAGCGAGGACACATCGAGGAGTGGACACTGGACTCAGATGGAAAGGCCAGCGGAGACAACAGCATCCTGATATCATGGCTTAGAGAGACGCACAAGAAGGCTGGAGGCG